TTCAGGCCCCCTCACCCGCCGTTTCGGAACAGCAGCGGAAGGAACGTGTTATTTTTCTGCCAACTCACTATCTCCAAAGCTGTCGTCGCCCCTGCGAGGCGGGTAATCATCAAAGCTGTCGGTGGTGGCAGGACGGGCCCTCCAGTCGCTCTCAAACCTCTCTGAGTCACGGAAGCGATCCCGATCTCTGCCAAAGCAGCGATCGTCCCGATCTGCCGGGGAAGGGAAGGAAATTTCAGCTCGCAGGGTGGAGAGCGGCTGTCAGCGGTGAATCGAGCGAGAGCACAACCCAAACCTTTTCAGCAGGAACCACCGACGCTTTGAAAAGCCCTCGGCCGAGTCCATTGGCAAGCAGGGACAGTGCAGGGGCACGGGACATCGTTAGGTAAGTGCTGGCAGGGAAAACGTCCCAGCCGGGCCCTCCGGCCATGCAGGCAGGAGCCAAGCCCGTGCCCCGGCCTGGAGCTCAGACCCGGCGATCCGGGTTGTGAGGACAGCGATTCCTCCGTCCTTAGCCAGGCCGATCACCGACCCGGCGCAAGACGTGGTTACCGAGACAGCCGGTGCGAAGGGAAGGTCGTGAGCTCACCTTTATCCTGAGCTTGATCAGCAACATCCACTCGTATTCTTCTGTTCCCTAGAGACTGAAAACAACAGCGAGAAGTCGGCCTTGCAGCCTCAAGACGTACCGAGGGGCGAGAAGAGCCGATCCTGCCGCGATGCCCTGGCACGGAGCAGGCAGCTCGTACAACACGGGCTGACGGCCTTAAAAAGCATTTTCTTCCCCATTTAAGTCTTTCTCAAGCAGGGACAACCATCCCTCTACAAGACGACACTTCTGAATGTATCTCTAGCGCCCAGGGCTGCACGGGAACGCGCCTGATCTGACAGGGGGGGGTCACACACCAGCCCTGCTCCGTCAGGGGTTGGACTCACCTCTTCATTGAGGCTCAGAGCCTGGAACAAGGAGTCTATGTCTTCAAACTCAGCATAACCAAAACCTTTCAACCTCTCCGGATTGGTAGGCTCCCGCGGCAAACGTACAGCACTTATCTGCAGCGAGAGAGGAGAGGAGAGGAGAGGAGAGGAGAGGAGAGGAAAGCTCTCGTTAAGATTCTTGCTGCCCGATGTTAATACGATGGGGCAAGGGTCGAGTTAGCTGAGACCACGCCACTCGTTGCTGTCAGGGGACTGAAAAAATCCTCTCGACGACGAGCAGCGAAGAGGGGGTTCAACTCCCCCTTCAACCACGCAACAGGCTCCCGCTACAAGTGTCTCCCACACGTGTTTGGAGGTAGGAATTTGGTCCCGGCAAGAATTCCAGCTGCAGATCTCCAGTGGCCGCAGCGGGAATGGATCTAAGGGCCAGGACGGCTCTGCGCCCCAGGAACAAGGCTCCAGCCCCTGAGGCCAGCAGGAGCCGTCCCTCGGCATCCCGCCGCTTTCGGAGCTCGTCCCAGGCTCCTGAGAACAACCCTCCTGACAAGCAGTTTCAGACCCGTTCAGGCGAGACGCTGTGCCTCTCCTCGCTGGATTTCGGTTCCCAAAACGTGGCTGCTCCCAGGTCGCTCCCGGCTCAGAGGCCTGGGAAGCGGCAGCAGCCTGCGGAGCTCGTTCCGTGCCGGCAAAGGGAAAGCACAAATTGCATTCGGACGAGCCGCGCGTGAGGAGCTGCCGCTCAGACCAGCACCAGGAGAGGCCGGGCAGGGAGACCGAGCGACGGACGCAGAGCAAAAACTGTTCTGCAAGGGCGAGAGCCAGCACTGTGCTTTGCTCCTCACTCTCCTGCGTAGCACCGACCCATCTGCCTCTCAGCTCCCTCCTCCTCCTCCACAAGTTTCACCCGCACTATTACTCTCTGAGGAGGAGTGGATGCTGCCTCAGCAAGCACGAAAGGGTAGAAAAAACAAGACGAAAATAAAAGACCAAGGTAAGCAGTGCGGGGAGCTTTCCGCTGCCATCAGCGCGGCTCGCTGCCACGCGGGGAATGCCGGACTCCGGCTGCGTTTCCCAAGCTGACCTTCCGGGAGGGACGCGGCCATTTCTCATCATTACTTGCTGTCCCTCCTTCACCCTCCCCAAATAACCCAAGGGCTCCAACACTCTTAAAGCTGGGAAAAATCATCTCGTCGGGGCAGTCGCAGTCTCCCCAGGAGCGTCTCCTGCTCTCGGCCACGGGGGAGGACGCATCTTGAGGAAACCCCTTGAGAGGAGCGGACCCAACGCAGGCTGAACTGGAGCCTGTTCTCAAAGTCTGGGGCACCTCCGTGAAATTAGAGTTAAGGGCAGAAAATGACGGACAGGCGGAGGAGGAGGAGAAAAAAAAAAAGGGAGAAACAGCAGAGGGAAGGCCAAGCTCATCGTCGCCGGTGCTCCGGCTGCTGGAGCAGGTCATACCAAGTCTATTTTAATTGGGAATAAATTTAGTTTTCCCCAAGTCGAGACCGTTTTGCTTGTGACTAATTGGTAAGTGATCTCCTCATCCTTATTGCGACCCACAAACCTTCTCATCTTGTTTCCTCCCCCTGCCCCGCTGAGGGGGATCGAGTGAGCAGCGGGGTGGGCGCTAGGCACCAGCTACGCACCCTAAATCACCCCGAGATCCGGCCCAACCTCCTCTCTTCACCTGGTTCAACGGGAGGAACACCAGCCGCCCGCTTTAAAAGGGTTCTTGCTCCGTCACCATCATGGCTGAAACAGCGGGAACGGCCGTTTGCTCGCTGCTAGTCAAGCGGCTCAACTGAGATCGAGCAATCCGACAGCCGTGGCTGTCTGGAAACCGTTGCTCACAGCCAGCTCCAGACACGGACATACACCCCCAGGAGCCGGGAACCACCTTGGCCGATCCACGGCAAAGCAGGAACCAACACACGGAGCACAAACGGGGATCCCAAATCCATCCAAAATCACAGGATTTACGGCCCACGTTACCCCCTGCCCCGCTGCCCGGACCGGGCTCTGAGCCGTTACTCACGTTGAGTCCTCTGAAGAAGTCCTTGATGGATTCTTCCGTCACGTCGTAGGGCAGGTTTCCCAGAAAGGCCGTGTAGGGGGGGGATTTCGGGAGGCGGCTTCTGTCTATGTTGGGTTCCCGAGCAGCCCGCGGGGCGGTGGGCAGGATGGAGCGGTCGATCGGAGGGGCCCGGTACACGTCGTCATCGTTACTGTGCCAAGTGGTAGAAACTAAAGAGAGAAATTTGGCAAATCACCCAAAACCCACTGAACTAGAGACCGGTTACTGCCAACGCCGCGCGGTGCCGCGTTACGGCTGAGGAGCTGCACGTTAAAGCCCTGAAATTCATCCGGCCGAGCTGTCGGGCAGCCCAGCATGAAAAAAGCTGTCCAAAAGGCACCAGCAGCCCCCGAGGAGAAACCGAGGCAGACTAAAACCGCAAGGGAGGGCGACCATTTAGTCTGGCAACCCATTTAATAAAGCATTAAACCTTCCCCGGATTAATTCCTGTTTGAATCACAGCCCGTCTCGTGGAAAAATACCAGGGCTTCGGTGAATCTGCCCACCCTCTGCTCTGCCTCTCCGTTACGCCGACAAAAAGCTCTTTATGCCACTTCTCTACGGCAGCACGTGGGTGCAAATCTCCCTCCCCTTCACCAGACTGTCAGTCTCAGTCCTAACGAGAACTCCGTTTGCTCTCCGAGCTTAATTACTGCCCAGAAAAGAAACAATCAGCAAATTTCACAATGTTTGGGTGTGTCGTTCCGGGTCACCGGCTGTTCACGGGTATGACCAAACCCGGAGCTGGCAGCGGTGCGGTTACCAACACTTCCCACTCAGTTCTTCCCCCTGCAGCGGCGTAAGAAGGGGAAGGATCTACGTGCAGACAAACTGCCTCCGCATCCCTCAAACCCCACGAGGGAGCCAGAAGCAAAAAGCTTCTTCTTTTAACGCCGCAGGCCGAGAGACTTCTGCTATCGGCGTTTGATCTGGGA